ACGTTTGAGGTGCTGTGAGGCTAGGCTGACGCCACGGCAGCTCACTCCTAGCTGGAGCAACAAGTGGACTGTCTGTCTCAAAAAAAAAAAAAACTTTATTTATTTTTTGTTGGTTGATTGAATTTTGTTGGGTTGATTAAGTGCAGTAGAAATGGGTCTCACTCAGGCTGGTTTCTAACCTCTGACCTTGAGCAACCGGCCCGCCTCGGGCTCCCAGAATGCTAGGATTACACGCATGAGTCGCCACACCCAGCCCATCTTTCTGTCTTAAAGTAGAACATTCTGTGTTAGAACTGGCCCTTGGAGCCTGATATATAGATGGAGAAATGGAGAGGAATGGGGATGCTTGGAGAAGAATCACTTGGCTTTGGTAAGGATGCGTTACCGTGACAGCAGCCATTGGCTGATGTGGGAACAGTTATTACGGAGCATTTCTGTAAGGAGGAGTGTGCATCTGTTCCTCCCTGGTGGGCTGAGAAGGCTGTGAAACACATGTGTTTTCCTTTTGTTGAAAGGGACTTCACGTTAAATAGGAGTGAGCTGCAGTTTCACCTTGGACTCATAGTTATCTGGACAACAGGGTTTGGTGTTGCTTCTGTGTGCAGCCATTTATGGGTGTGTGGCACTGCCTGGAAACCCGCTGTGTTTCTTTGTGAAATGCTAGTTGAAGAGAATGTAACAAATCACTTTATGGTAAAAAAAATTGAGAAGTTGTAATAATAATATTCAGGCTAATTCCTAGAAATTTACATAAAAACTGACACAAGTAGAAATAGAAAAGTTGCACAGTCCTACCAGGTTAAAGGAAATGGAAAGTAAAATGAAGAAACAGCTTTTCATAGAGAAATGTTAGGTCCAGTGGCTCTGCTGGTAAATTATACCAGGTGTTCTGGAGAGAATTACTCCATGTTCCTGGAGATTTTCCTACAGAGCAAAAAAAGGATATACAGTCTATGTGGGGCATGGTGGCTCACGCCTCTAATACTAGCTCTCTGGGAGGCCGAGGCAGGAGGATCGTTTGAGCTCAGGGGTTGGAGATCAGCCTGAGTAAGAGCAAGAGCCCATCTCTACTAAAAATGGAAAAAGTAGCCGGCATGGTGGTGCACACCTGTAGTCCCTACTGCTCGGGGGCTGAGGCAGGAGGATCGCTTGAGCCCAGGAGTTTGAGGTTGCTGTGAGCTATGACACCACTGAACTCTACCTGGGGTGACAGAGCAAGATGTTGTCTAAAAATATGAAGCATGAAACTGAAAAAATAAAAGTGGAATTTATAAATAATATCATTATCCATTCAGGAAAGACAAAAGATTAATTATTAGACTTAGAGACTTGGGAAAAGTTCACCAGCTACAAAAATCAACAAATAGAAAATATTTCTGTATCCACATGCTAGCAA